TGTAAATTAAAAGATACTTCTCTCCAGGAAAGCAATTCTTAAATATTTTATTTTAGAACCATATCATTCTTCATCATACAGTTTTTACGTAGTGGAAGTGGCTTCCAGAGGAAAACACCAGGGAGCGTGGTTGAGTCACAATGATATTCTAGTTGTTTTAGGCACAACACAGGAGATGGTCGCACTGAATGCATTGGTCCGACTGATGTCCACCAACTTGCAGATCCTGTGAAAAATCCATATTATGTATTGTAATAAAGCTGCCCTTGGGGTCTTACGGCTTATACTTGGAGGCAGGAGGAGGTCAAGGGATAGGCAGAAGTACTTGTAGGAACCGTTTATTGGCAACTAGGCAAGTCTCTCCACAAACACACACAAGACTAACTGGTAGCGTACGAGAGCGGACTGCGCGTCCACTCAGCAGCGCGGTTAGAACTCAACTGGCGGCCCGGCCGGGCTCGGCTCCTCGGCTCCGCACTCGAGTCTCCCGCCACGCGGCGGCGGAGGGGGTAACTCGCCTGCCAGCCGCTAGGGGCAGCACTCTCGCGAGGCGGTCGACCGTCAGGTCGTTCCTGACGACAGGGAAGGCGCGTAGCAGACGGCTTTCTGCTAGCTTAGTTCAGATTGTAGTAATCTTTACTTCTTGCGATAAAATCGCAACTCTGTCACAATACACGGTCTCTCTTTTAGAAAGTCCTGCGCACAGTCGTGCACATCGCCGCAAGTGAATTACAGAGTCGTGGTTCTCTCCTTCGGAGCTAGTGAGCTGGGAAAACCCTGTCAAAACCCAACATCCAGAACCGGGTTAGGTTATGAGTAGCAGGTTGTGCAAAGTCTGCTGGTAACTTATCAGATTGCTGATAGTTTAACCCACAGTCTCAGCAACTGCCAACCCACAACCATTCCCAAAGTGCCTCTAAATAAAATGAATTCTTGAAATCTGTCTTGCAGCTTGAGTCTGGTATGGCCTCGCACAGGCGTCTCCTTCCGTTGCTAGCGTTCTTGCTGGCTGGTCTCTGGGAAGGTCTAGCAGGGCTGGGTCAACCAGGGACTTGGACAGGGGCGGATTTGGGGGGGAGGGGGGGCAAAGGGCTGGTTGCCCCCCCCCTGGGGATCTGGCGCCCCCTAAAAAAAAGGAGGAAAGAAAGAGGAAAGGGAGAGAAAGAGAAGGGAGAGCGAAAGAGAAAGGGAAAAAGAGGAGGAGAAAAGGAAAATTTTAAAGAAAAGGAGTAAGAAAGAAAAATATATTTCCAGAAGGTAGGCTGTATGTATATCCGTCTTTTTGCCGTTATAAGATGCGGAAGCAGGGAGCAAACATGCATGTCCCATCAGCTGTCTTAATTTGGCTTCTATCATCGCATGCCGTTTAACGAGCGCAGCATTGTCCAATAGGTGAAAATGAATGAACAAGGCAATTATTTTTAATGGCTTTCAACTGGCAATAGAAACATAACTTAAATGTCTATATTTTGAGCTAAGCGCGTACCCTAAGAAAAATTTCGCTCGCTTCGCTCGCGGTTTTTTAAAGAATTACAGATCACTTATTATCTCAATTTTTTTCGCTCGCCTCGCTCGCGGCCTTACAACTCTTCTTTGCACAATTATGGAGATCTTTTCGCACTCGTTTGAAGCGTTTCATACGAAACCTGAGCGTTTAAATTTGGCACCCTGTCATCTTTTAAGTGTAGTTACTATTCTCTGAACTGATCAAACTATCTTTGGTAATGGAGGCTTAGGCGAGGCTTCGGTAAATGATGGTCATAATCTTTCACAGAACTTTTACTTACACACAAGGAGAGGAGAGGAGTACATTGTGCTCGCTGGCCCAGCTCAGACTGACTCGCT